GGTAAGGCCTCAAGGCGGCATGTCGACGATCAAGATTAGTCACACATACGCGCGAGCTAGATATGCACAAAACGCATAATAATGATGTGATGTCCAGGCGCGTATGTGAAGACTTTTTAACACGTCGATGTAGCATCCACTGCAGCTGGCTGTGTACATTGTTATCACAAATCATTCGTGCCAATCGTATTGTGGATCCAGAGTCAGTGCCTCTTCGCTTGCCTTGTCTTCACTTTCTAATGAATTTTCACTCGGCACCGTTGATGATGATCTGAGCATATCGTTGTTGATGACTAGTGATTCACATCAATCGGCTCTCTTGTCATGAAATTCTTCGACCTAGGCGGCGCTGTGACATTCCTCCGCTGCACTGCTCGTGCCAGCGCTTGGGAAAACGTGACTCAACATCCCATCCGCAAGAGATTCATCACATCGGCGTTGTCAGTCGGAGAAGAGTGATGGCGAGGCTCTGGTCGGGGCGGTATGCGTGCAGCCAATTTGTATATGGTTCCCCGCTGGGACACGGATTGTGTTGGCCACGTCTTCAGCTTGGGTCACTCACTGCGTGCCGTGGGGGGTGGTTCGGTCTGCAACACTACGTATGACGCATAGCCAGTATCACATGGGATAAAGGAAAACCGCCTATGCGGTAATGTTCCCTTCCATCCGAGTCCATGCGTCCAACGTTGTCTGCTCTTCGCAAGGAGCGATCGAAAGCGGCCTGGGGTCCAGCCGGCGCACATTCACGGGACTCCGGCACCTGCATGTACGTCGCCCTCTCACGCATACCCGTCTGTCGCATCTGTGCCCGCCATCGTGGATGGCGTGAATTTGCAGGCTGAAGACAATCCAGAAGCCCTGGGGGAAAGGGTTCTTTGAAACAGCTTTCGACAGCGACTCGTGACTCCGGTGTTCCACCAAAGCTTGGTCAATAAAACACAAACAGAAAAAGTTCAAGCAGAGTGCCATCCCGCGTCGTGTCATCCCACAACGTGCCAAAGCACGACATGGTCGCCGTGGCGTCGGCAGCTTGCGCACCAAACTTTTTGAAGCAATTACAAACAGAACACTAGTA